GTAATTATTTCAATATCTTTAGCAAGGAAAACAAGTTCTAATTGATCTGAAGACATGGACTGGAAAAAATGGGTAAAATGGACCTATGTTATTTTTGAAACTGTGTTATTTAGAATACCTTTAGACAAATTTAGCAGAGAGATTTCAGTCTACTGTCAAAATACTTTTATAGTTTTATTCTCCCAATTTATTCATTTAATTTATGAAACAGAACATCTTCCTCAAGGAAACCAGACATAGTTACATCAGAGTATACTGAGTCTTTCTGTATGTAATAAACTTAGTGTTGTAACTTAGTCAGATCATATCATGTTCTGCCAAAGAAAGATTTGCATGACAGGAATCTCTTGATATTTTTATTAAATTGATATATGAATCAACATATTTTTGCTCCCTGAAAACCAATGCCAAATGAAATGGGAGTGAATTACTCTAGTAAAATTTTTAGCCTGGTCTTCTGAATTGTAATTATTTCTAACATGGTCAGAATTTTTGTTCTTTGAGGATTGAACACTAACATTTTCAATGGCATGTAGTGTCTAATTCCTGGAAGACAGCTGCCATCAATATAGCTATCTAGGGAATTCAAGGGTCCACATGCAGCCTCTTTTTCCTATTCCCAAGTAGGAAAGATTTAAGAGGAAAGAGAGACTTTTTTTAGCAAAAAATAAATTAAAGGATTTTTTTTTTTTGTATAGCTAATTGGCTCAAATCTGTTGGAATTATAGCTTGATTGTAGCTTGATTTTGGAATGTACCTATAAAGTAGCTAATTTGAGCAGGAAAGTTCATAGAGTTAAGGAAATATGTTTAAAAAGCAAACCTTGAATATCTGCAGTCTACTCTCATTGTCTAGTTAAATCCATATTGAAAAGAATGATTCTGCTAGAACAGGAAATTCTGATGATGCCAGTTGGTCAATAGCAGAAGATTTATTATAATAATGTGAACAACAGTATCAAATGCTTGTAAGCGTGAAGATAGTCAATATTTAATTTTGAAATTCAGTTATGAAGAAAGTGGTCCTTCTATTTTTTCTCTCTCTTGCTCCTGTTGCATAGTTTCAGATGACTCAAGAGTAAGGATGTATTTTGATTAATGATAATATATTGTTATTGTTAAATTTATTTGCTGCCTATCGCACTGAGGGGCTACTCTGGATGGTTTACAACAGTAAAAAGGAAGAAATGAAAAAGCTGTAAACAAAACAAAGGTAAAATAATAGAACAAAAAAATAAACAATGAAAAAAAAACAAAAATAATATATCAATATAACAAAAAATGGGTGGATCGGGTGCAGAGAAAAAGATGGGGAGGAGGAGTCTGCCATAGTCCAGCAGCTATCTTCAGTGTGGAAGTCCCCCATTTGATCCCCCCGGCAGAGTCATGTCTTCATACTCCTGTGGAAGGATAGGAGAGTGGGGGCAGATCTTAACAGAGGCTCTTCTGGATCCCAGTAGTTAGAGTCCTTTGATCAATGGGATCTGTAGTAGACCCTCTACTGGCATAAGTACAATGGGCTTGTCCTAGTGGAATGAGATGATTCATCAGATAGCCTGGACTTATGCCATTAAGAGTTTTAAAGATCATAACCAGTATCTTGAACTGCACTCGGAAGCAGACTGGTAGCCAGTGAAGTTTGCAGAGCATAGGGGTAATATGGGTAATATGCACCAGCTGAAGCTTCTGAATGTATTTCAAGGATAATCCCATATAGAGCACATTGCAGAAATCCAGACAAGAAATGAGTAGGGCTTGAGAAACTGAGTGCAGAGTCATGATTCACGAAAGGTCATAGTTGGTGCCAAATTTGAGATGTGCAAAAACTGTCCTATTCACGCCCAGGAGATGTAAGACCAGGGAAGCCCCATTTTGCAAACTGGGTGTGCACAGGGTAGTGCGACCCCATCCAAAATTAAAGATGACAAAAGCTCATATCCTGGGGCTCCATGCACCGAAAGCCACTCAGTCTCGTCAGGATTCAATCAAAGTCTATTGTTCCCTATCCAGCTCCCTACAGCCGCCAGGCATCATGAGAGGCAGAGACATCATTACTCGGGTCACCATGTGTAGAGATGTAGAGCTGAATATCATCAGCATATTGACGATATCTCAACCCAGGGTGATGGATGATCTCACCCAACAGCTTCAGGTAGATGTTAAGCAAGGGAGGTGTACCAAGCCCTGAGGGACAACTAGTAGAAAATAATATGGAATACAATAAGAATGTCTTTGTCGCATTTGTAGACCAAGAGAAAGCATTTGATAGAGTTGATTGGGAATTGTTATGGTAAACATTGACCCAATATGGAATAAGTGAACATCTTATTAGAGTATGCAAAAGCTTATATAGTGATTGCAGAAGTATAGTCAGAATAAACCAAGGAACATTAGAACCTTTCACAGTAACATGTGGAGTAAAACAGGGATGGGTACATCATCATTATTGTTTATCACCTATATTGGCAGCATAAGCAAATAAGCCAAACCCAAGAATGGAAATAATGTCAATGAACTACTCTTTGCAGATGACCAGGCATTGATAGCAAGTACTGTTAAGAAACTACAACATCATCTTTTGGCCATGAACCAAGAATGTCAGAGTATGATATGAGAATTGACAAAGAGAAAATGGAAGTAATGGCAATTGGAAGAAAAAAGCATACGCTAAACAGAGTAATTAGAAGGAATAACCATAAAATAAGTATCAAAGTTCAAATATCTAGGAACAATGTTCACCAAAGATGGTAAAATGGATGAAGAGATTAACACAATAATGCAGTAAGGCAAATCAAGTATTAGGACACCTTGCTCCACTCATACAATATATGTCAATATAAGAAGCATTTCATACAAATATTCATCCCCCCCTATGTTACCAGTACCAAACATGGACACTTGCAACAAAACATGAAAGTTAGTCACCACAGAACTGAGACGCTTGAGGAAATTTGCTGGAGTGACCAGAAGAGATAAAATCAGAAATGAGACCGTAAGAGAAAGAATTGGCATAGAACCAATCTTAAATTACATACAAAAACAGCGAATAAAGTGGTTTGCTCACTTGGAGAGGATGTTGTGGGATTTCATATCATACAAGGCATATACAAAAAGAGGACGAAGTCAAAGAACAAGAGGCAGACTCAGAAGAAGATGGAGAACAAGATCAAAGACCTACTACAACAGCTTCAATTAACAATGATTGAGACCACCAGAAGAGCAAGAACTTTGTATCTCCCTAAACACCCAAAATGGTAAAAAAAGGAAGTAAAGAAGAAGAATAAAAAAATAGAATATAAGCCATCCTTGGAAAATATTCCTGAAGCCTCTTAATAGAATTGACTTATAACAGAAATCTTTAGGGGAAATTACATTAATAGTCTGATAATAGGGCAGCGTAGGGAATGGATCCCAAATAATTAATTTGTACATATGTATTTTTTTTGAATGTGTGCTTACAGCATACAGAAAACAGATTTATTTACTCTGTAGGTTATGGAGGCCTGTATATAAGAAATTAGTGTAGTGTATTGTTTGAGTTTGAAGACAAAAAGAGATTTTGAAGTGCCCAGAGGTACAAACACAGGTCTGTTTGCAGCTTCGTTAATGAAATGTGTCTTTTCCTATCAGTTTTGTGTAGTAGTGAAGGTGCTGACTTAGAAATCAAGAGCCTCTGACTGACATTCAACCCCCTCCCCACCATAGGATTTTAATGCTGGCAAGCTAAGATTCACTGGTGGCCTCCTTGGATAAAGTATCATGCCAGAGAAGAAGCACAAGGGATGCATGTTTGGTCATTCTTCCAGGTAGCATGTGAAGGTAGAAAATGCTATTTTTTTTCCTATTTAGGTGACTCAGAAGAGTAGGGGGAAAAATAAAGGGAATAGATTGGTTAAGAATAGTTAATACCATGTTTAATGTTTTAATAATGTGGTTTTGACTGCTTGTTTTTAAGCTATCTATTATCGTGTAGGAAAAACATTGTACATTCTGAAAGCAAAACTCTGTTAAATTCTCAAGAGAGGGGGAGATATGTCCTCAAATATAGCTTCTTGGATTCATGCCGGTTGATCTTAACTGCCCTTTCACATATTATTGTGTGTATCTATGAGACTTAATAAGCATTTATATATCCAAATGTTCTTGGCAGAATCAGGAACAGTAATACAGAGTGACTTCTTAATTGATTGTCATCTTCATTGGACATAATGTACTTGAACATTGAATTATATTTTTGACAATTTATTAAATTGCTCAAACAACTTATTAATTATTAGATGTATTTTTAGTAAATCACAAGTACAGTGTTTGGGATGAGATAGGGATGCCATTTGTCTCCAGAGCGTAATCCTCTTCTCTTCTCTTCTCTTCTCTTCTCTTCTCTTCTCTTCTCTTCTCTTCTCTTCTCTTCTCTTCTCTTCTCTTCTCCCCTCCCCTCCCCTCCCCTCCCCTCCCCCCCATGCTTATAGAAATAATTATTATGGTTAACTCTGATAGCTTATCCAGCTTTTATTTGCTATTCCTGCATTTTTACTTCATGGTATTTAAAGCAAAGGTTATGCAGAAGAAACAGACATGCCAAAAATATATCCTATGTACATGCAGGTCTGTTAGGAGAGTAGGAACTGCTGCAGAGCAGCAGATTTAGGCAGAAATGCAGATTCCTAAGCTAGATTGCCTTTTCTGCTTTGAGAGAAATTTCTTTTTAGCCACCTGTCCACCATTGCTAGGAAACTCCTGAGCTGCTTGAGCAGCTGCAGCCATTTGTCTGGAAGGATAAACTGCATACTCTCTGCAGGCATGTACAGTTAATGTTATATTAAAAAAATATTTTAAAAGTCAAATGACTTGTGAGAAAACTCCAAGTTGAAATTATTTCTGATAGCTTAAATAATTCCTATGAAGATAGATTGAAAGCCTTTAAACTTGTATAGATAGCCCTTGCTTAACAGTTCTCTCTTTCAGTGACCAGAGTTACAACAGGGATGAAAAACTTTACAATCACTGCTAAAATTTACGGTCTTCATAGGTTCGTAAAGGAAAGGAATGCTGAAGTAAGCTCGTAAGCACAGTCCCGGTTTCACTTAATTACCATTTAATGATTGAGTTGCCTGTCCCAATTGTGATTGTTTTTACATCAGTCAGAGTGCAATTATTTGGAGAAGCCTTATATATTTGGGGTTTTCAATCTGAAAATTAAAAAGGGTGAATACTTTGCTTCTGTTCAGCAATAACATCTTTTTGTCCCTAGAGACAGACTGGAAGTTTCCCAAGGATGAAATTGCTCCATTCTTTATAGAAGCAGTTATGAAGGAAATTATTTTGCTACAGCATTATATTTGTAGTAATTATTTCTTTCTTTCTAAGTGAAATGCTACTAAATGTTGTAACCCAAACCTAGCAAACCGAAAGATATATATATATATGTACAAAGATTTAATGACAGCCTTTGCCAAAGTAGACTGTACCAGATAGTTTTTTGGAAATTTTAAAAAAATGTTGTAAGGAATATTTAAAAGTACTCTGGATATATGATTATTTTCTTTTGGGCTAAATAATAATATAGAGCTTTTATTTCTTTATTTTATTTTACAGATTGACTTGAAGGAGAGGAGTATAGTATTTTTTTCATGGAATTATTAAAGGTGAACTCTTGAAAGATATAAAGATGCTTGCAATTCTGTTTCTCATGTCCTGAATCACTCAATCAGTAGATCTTAATAAGTCTGAAATAAAATTTAGAACTCCTTCTGTAATTTAAGATGAGAGTTTCTTTAATTTTTTTCTCACAATATCATTCCCACTTTTAAACATTATAGAGGACTGCAGAAGAGCTTTTGTTTATGGATATTTATCATATTAAAAGTTGAAATAGATACATTTGCTGCTGCTGCTACTTCTCATAATCGTTTGATGATATTTTAATACTGTTTTCAACATAGGCTGGCAAATAATTTTGATTTTGTGACCCCCGAGAGAGTTTCTCCCCCCCAGGGTCCTAGCACCACACATTAAGAAACACAGTTGTAGATAAATGTATTAGTGATACAATGCTTCAGTTGTATTGTAATATTCAAGAATAAACTACTCTTTGCACAACAGTTGTGCAAAGAATTTAATAAGTTATATTTAATTTAATTTAGTTTAGTTGCTTTACTCCAGATGCTATAATTTAATATTAGTTAAGTTTGGTTAAGATAGGAGTTTTGATATTTGTTGATGCAAAGTTTCCATATCATCTTTGTGGACATTGAAGTTTTAGATTTGGAAACAAAGAGGGCAGGAACTGTACCACGTAGTGTTGCTGGCTTGGCAAATGTTTGAGCTCTGAGTAGAGAAACCAACTGCATACTATTTTGGGTGAATGAGGTTAGCTGTTAGTACATATAGCTTCATGAAACGTTCTGTCAGTCATTGTGTTGATTGTGAAGATTGAGGCTCAGTCTCATTACTGCATGCATGGATATACATTCCATAATGAAAGAAAGACATTTCTGTGCCTGAACTTGCTGCTGACAAGAGTTTGGCCAGAAGCTTACTGATTCTGATCTTTAGATGTCTGCTTTTTAGATGTATCTATCTCTTGTATCTGCTTAACCCCAGTGTGAGCTCAGCTTCAAGCTATAAAGTGGCATTCAAGAGTGAAGGTTCAACGGGACATTTAGAGCCATATATATTGGCCTTTACTTCAGTTTAACAACCCTGCACAACCCTGAGGGAATATTCTGAGCCTGGGATTTTCTTCAAACATGTTGGACAAAATAAAAACTCTCCAATCTACTTATGGTGGAATTGTGCCATTTGAAGAGATTGTATTAAAGGATGTAAAGAATGCAGGTTTGAGTCAGGACTCCTACCACTGTTTGAGGGAAGGTCAGTGAGCTCTGTCTTATATTAAGAGGACTCTTAAAACTTACCATTCATATCTATTGAAGGTTGTCTTGTATGTTTGTTATAATACTGTACAGTGAATTCATTCATATTGATAGTACTTAGATGTCTTTTAATTTCTGTTAGAAGATGCTGTTTGTTCAATTTTATAAAGATCTCTTATGAGCAGGTATATGAGAATCTAAATTAGGTTTTAAACTTTAGTCTTTACAAGGCTTTCTGTTTCAGTAGTAAGGGACAGAAGTGATACAAGATGTTTGGATATTGATAAGAGGAAGAAACAAAAATAATTATAGTAAAAGATAATGAACATTAATCTAATCTAATGGAGGATATTGCAGTGGATGATTCATGGCAGTTATGAATAAGGGAATGGATGATAGAACTTCATGATAGCAACCCAAAAGCCTACATTGGGAAAAATAGTTGGAATAGCTATATAAGAAATCCAGACTGCTGTCATATGTGTTAGCTAAAAATAAATCCATTGGAATGACATGGGGAATTTGATGGAATAAAAATACCCTAGGCAGGGCTTTGAAGCAGTCCCAGACCCGAGGGTGAGCTTCACCAAATCTAACTAAATACTGTGGTTCGGATTCAGGCAGGGTGGAATCAAATAGTAACTTGATGCTTAAATATTCATGATTCAAATAAATACATATGTTCTTTTTAAAAGATTAACCAGCTTGTCATTATTAAGTGTTACTAGGTAAAAATAGGTTAATGTTTCAAGCAGATTTTATTGCTATAAGGTATATGTCCCCTATAAAAATGCAAATATTGCCCAACTTTTTCAAAAAGTGCCCATTTCTCCATTGGATAGGAGCTTTAAATAGTAGCAATTGCTTATTGAAAACATTATGTTATTAGGGGCAACAACCATATTTTTGAAGTCAGCTTAATTTGGAACAAGTTATCCACAATATTATGCCTGGAAGTTTGTCATTTAAGAAATATGGTGCATGATGATATATTTGATTGTGTTTCAGTGGAAGTTATCCAAAAATTCAAATTGCTATGCAATCCTCATTGTATGTGTTATGGATAAAATAGCAGATTATAACCAGATTATATCCATATCCTTCTTTTAATTTGGCTATTGCCAAATGTATCTACAACTCAGTAAATCATAGTCTCCGCATATGACTTTGTTGTGGACTTATATATCTTAAAGAAAATTGATGGCACTATATTTCCCTGGAATCAGTTTATACTGATACTGGTTTTTAATCAAGGAATCAGCAACTTATTCAATATAAAATAACTTTACATCACTTACTTCTTTACAGATAAAAGGAAAGAAGAAAAGAATGAATTATTTCAATAAATGTGCCATTTATGTCTTATTCACAAGTACCTTTTAAATATTGTTTTAGAAAGTTTAAAATAAATAAATATAAGAAAATTGGGTATCCACAAATTAACTGTTAACTGAAATTAGTTTTTCCTAACTTTTTTTACCCTGGAGGAACTTGTAAGATAATTTTCAGGTCTTCGAGTACCCCAGCATAAAAATCAGAAAACAGGTACAAACTTCTTCAGTTACAGTTTCTCACAGAACTCCTTGCAGAGCTGAAGTGCTCTGCCGGAACCAAGTTGAGAAAGGGTGGTTTATTGACTCTTAGTTATAAAGCAAAATTCCAAATGGGAACTATCATCTGTGAGCTGCTGCTAAGAAAATCCTGTTTAAACTTTATTCCTCAAAGCAGCATTGCTGTCCTTTGTAGGGGGAACTACAGCTTTGTTGAGTCTTGATCAGTTGTTTTATACAGTCAGCAAAAATGGAAGAACAACATTTCAAAACGAAGACGCTGTTGGAAAATTGATCTGATATATGTGAGTGTTCATATATTTCCAGATTTAAAACAGAGGGATTTTCTTTAAAGCAGAGGGATTAATATAATATAATTTATGGGAATTAGTTAGAAAAAAGCAAAATGCCACACACAACAGGAGTAAACATCATGTCAAAATCATTGTGAAGAACTGACTTGCAAAGTACAGAATTCTTAGCTGAAGTTATTTTGTAATCCTGCATTGCATTCAGGCCAAGGCAAGTATTTGGAAGTTGGTTCAAGCATAGAGTGATGGCAATTTCATACTAATAGAATGAAATTAGCAAAAATTAGCAAGCCTTGCCAAAGGAGGTCCCCAGTGTTATTTTAAGTCATTTTCTAGAAAAACGTTGAACACACAATGGTTGGTATATAAATCTTGGCATGAGCTGATTGTCATGGTTGCGATTACAGAAGGTAATACCTGTTATTTTATTTTATATTTGCATTTTGTGTTTGGTTCAAATGGAAAATAATCCATTTTGTGTTGTCCCAACATTCTGTAATAGGAAATATTATGTTTTGTAACTCGATTTGCTATTTATCACTATGAACAGGGCTTATGGAGGTTAAAGTTGATGAATAAAGTTAAAATAACTGGATAACAGTAGATGCCTACCCTTGAATTTAACCAAATCTCCTCTTTATGAAAACCAGAACCAATTTTAAGGAAGCTAAACATAATTTTTCATTTTGTAGTACTAAGCTGTTTCTATATTAAATTAAAGTAAGAATGGAATGTAAGTGGTAACTTGTTATAGCAGAGCCAATTACTTTCTGAAAAAAAATGCAACTTTTTGTTGTAAATATAAGCCTAATGAATCTTCGATTCATATACAACACAAAACAATTTGAAATATGATAATGATGTTACCCGTTCAGTCAAAGTCCAACTCTTGGCGATTCTATGGGCCAGGTCTCTTCACATCTTCCTATCTTGCACTATTTGACTTTTTCTATGTTCTGGCTAGTGTCAGCTTTGATAGTGTCGAGCAACTGTGTTCTTTGATGGCTTGGTTTCCTTTTACCACGAACTCTTCGAAACATAAATCCTTTTTCCAATGAATTCCCCCACATAACGTGACCAAAGAAAGTGAGATGCAGTTTTGTGATTTTGCCTTCTAGGTTTGAAATATAGTGGGAAGTAAAATCTAGTTCTCTCTCTCATACTAAAGCAATACCGTGTTATAGAAATAATTATTCTTGACTAAATAAAATAAATAATAAACTGTCTCAGCCATAATGATCTCTTGTTTTAAAATGGCATCATGTTTTATTATAAAAGAGTACTGGCATTTCTTGAAAAGTAGTAGGTGATAAACAGTTAAGGGATTTTGTTACGATCCCCTTAATTTAACGTTTTTTTTATCTCCAGTATCTGGAGTTCAGAAATACTATTAGTAATTAATATGGTTTGTAAACAAATTGCAAAGGTTGAATGAAAAGTAATACTCCCAATGTTATAAATTGGCAACAGATTGCAGTACTGACATGATAGAGGTTTTGCTGTATTCTTTAGCAGTTGTTCTTTCACTTCAATTGGCACAAAGTTGCTGAGTGAAAAGATTATATTACTATTGTTCATGAAGTGGAAACCTACGTACTCAGTGTGCTTTAAGCAATACACCATGATTGAATTTTTGACTGCCATGGGAGCAGTGGTGAAATCCAATTTTTTTTACTATTGGTTCTGTGGGCGTGGCAGGGGAAGGATACTGCAAAATCTCCATTCCCACCCCACTCCAGGAGAAGGATACTGCAAAATCCCCATTCCATCCCCACTCATGGGGGGAGGATATTGCAAAATCCCCATTTCCACCCCACTCTGGGACCAGACAGGTGGTATTTGCCGGTTCTCCGAATACTTAAAATTTCCGCTACCAGTTCTCCGAACTGTTCAAAATTTCCGCTACTGGTTCTCCAGAACATGTAAGAACC